TTTTGTTAACAATGTTAATACTTTTAAAGTATTAAAAAGTTGGATTTAGGCTTTAATTTGTTTGCCTCTAACTAAAAAGACTTTTTAAACTACATGTCCATCTTTTCATATGTACAGATGACCTGTGACTACCTGTGTCTTTTTGTTTCCTTTGTTAAAATCCAATAAAAATTATTGGAAAAAAAAAACCTCATGTCCATCTAAGACTACCTTGTTTATGCAATGACAATGCTGCTGTGTAATTTCACTGCAGAACTAATAACGTTGTCACCCTATTACAGGAAGTGGAACAATAACACATCTACTTGCAGGATCAACAGATAATAAAACTCTTTTATGGGAACTCAGAAAAACAAAAAATGCTGTTTGAATGCTACCGACAGACTACATCACATGTGTTTTTTTATTTTGCCTATTACTTTAATAAATCTATAGTAAAGAATGGTGGCACATAGGCAGTGACATTCATTTCCATTTGCACATTTCAAAAAGCTTGGTTCACCTTTGAAATTAGAAGAATGGACAGACATTCAAGACACTTTAGTTTAAAAAAAATGTGTATTTTTTGTTTTGTAAGTGTATCAATTCATAATATTATATTTCCCTATAATTTAGCCCTTTCACTGCCACAGACATAAGGCTTACGGCGGAGCACAACTGATTCCAGCTGGCCACGCCTGTAAGCCTTACGTCAGTGGCTTTTACTGTTCTGCTATAAGCTCATGGTAAAATAATAGCTCTCATCAGCGGCTTAAAAGCCGCTGATGACAGCTACTAACAAAAAATCCGGGCAGCCCCCCCGCCAGCACCACCACCATCTATTTCTCTTGGGATCCCTACTGCTCTCTCCCACTTGTATGGGCTAAGGTAGCAGGAATCTTAGGAGAAATTGCCAGTGGGGGTGCGGAGGAGGGAGTTGTGACATTCAGGATGGCCGAGCGGTAAGCAGAGCAGGGCCGCTGGCTGTCAGATTCTGGATCGGCGGTGGTTCTGTTTGTGCGTGCCGAGTAGGTCAGGATAGAGAGCGGGAGGATCAGTATATACCTGTGATGTTTACCGAACCTCTATGCAAAACAAACACTGGAGTGATCAGCTGATCTGATCAGCTGATCACTCCAGTGTTTGTAAACTAATAGTACTATGTGCCCCCAGTTATGAATGAACAGGACGTGCTTTACATCACTTCCTGTTCATTCATGAGCTTCTCAATGGATGAAATCAGCCGTACATCAGGTGGCTTCGGGTTGGCCGAACATGCTCAGCATGTTCGG